AAAGGCTAATTTTACGTCTGATCTAGGAGACATCCCATGACAAAAAGTTCTTTTTAGGTAATTAATTTTTGTTCACACACTTTTATTAATTTGTGTTAATTAATATTCTTTAATTCGTTCGTCCTGACGAGCCGAAAAAAAGATTATAGTTTTTTCACTTTGTTCAAATAAGAGTTGTACTTGCATGAAATTTAAAATGAGTGTAAAATGTAAAATGAATGCATAAATAACATTACTTTTAATTTTTAGTGGATAACACTACTCTTAATTTTTATATTATAATCCAGGTCAAATTTGATACAAAATAATATTTCATCATTCGCTGCTTTTCATGCAACCCTATGAATGTTTTGCGATTTCGAAGTTTTTATTTATATATAGGAACGGATGTGACACTTTTTTTCGCTTTTATAAAAGTCATTTTATAGTGTATTTTATAGATCTGAACTATTTATTTTTACGTCTTTTCTCAAACCTTGGAGATATATTCAGGGTTCGTGAAAGGTCACTGTAAACATTGAACTGTGCAATTAATTCTAATTTTCATGTATTTAATCCAATCAATTGCAAACGTGACTTTTCTAGCAGGCATTTTTTTTTTTCTAGCAGGCAAGTTTGGTATAAAACCTTGGGTGTTCTGCTTCTGCTTTTCTGGTTGCTTTGGTTAAACAACAAATATTTCATGTACTTGGTCTTCGTTGCATTAGACCAAAGAGGCGGCCAAGGTAATCAAGGCAATGACTATATTTTCTTTGAGAGATTATGAACCATAAACCCTAAAGCTTTAAAAGAAAGTTAAGCATAAACCCTAGAGCTTTAAAAGAAAGTTAAGTTTTTTTAAAGAAAAAACTTACGTATACAAGTTCGTTGTTGAAGAAAATCAAATTCATCAATGTGGATAACTTATTTTGGTTATACCTAAGAAGATCTCATCCTTAAGTCGAAGTGCTCTCTCATTAGGTCATATTTCGATTCACAATTATTAAACACATTAACTTGATGGTGTAGATACGTATTTGAGTTATGAGTCGGAATGTAAGTTGAGAACTCGTAAGCTCCTAAGTCACATTTTAACTTGAAATGGACTATATTCGATACGGTCTTAATTAATATAATTTTTGAAAAACTAAAATAAATTACAGCAAAGATCCACGAATTTGAAAACTATACATATCAAAATTTAACCTAGACATGACAAAACTGGAAAATCATTGAAAAGTTTTTTTTTTTGTTTCAAAAGAAAAAAAGAAAGAAGTTTTTATTTATTTTAATGATAAAAAAAGAAGAAGATATATGTGCACGTTAAACATGCATATGTATGGATTTACTTGGTATTGGAGCCACATGGAGGCTAGGAATGGCCTAGGCCTATCCTGAAATTTGATAATATACATGTATTGTTTGCTAATGTTTTCAATAAATACCTTATAGTACATTGGTAAGTGGTGTTTGAGAGTTGCATGGCGGCCTAGGTTTGAAAATCATTGATGTTAACAGCCTTCTGGTTTTTTCAAACTTAAACCTCTTTTGTTTAACCATATAAAACAAGGTCCATAAACCTTTTAGAAGAAGATTCAATTATGTTGAAAGGAAAATCTCATTGTATTAGTTTTGAGTTATGAACTTAAATTTTTGTTCGATCTTTCTTTTTTATTAAAACTCGTAAACAAGTTATATTTTTATGATATAATCATCTAAATACTAAAGTTTTCATAAAAAATTTAACGCCCCATCACTCTTGTTTGATAAATTTTGGGGTGTGCTATTGACATTATTTTTTACTTCTCATACACTCATCAATTTTCTATTCTCAAATGAAATGAATTCAAAAAGATCAAAGTACTAAAATTAACAAAAGTGTGAGAAGAGTAAAAATAGACGTGTAAATAAAAGGCTCATGTCCGCCACTAATTGGATCAAACGTATGAATGTCGTAATCATCAAACCATCAACACCATAAACTAATAATCTACTGATGACAATAAAAATGAAAATGTGGGATATCTAGAAAAGAGGTTGGTCCTACGCTCTTTAGTCTCAGTCCGCAAGTTTCTCTAGTCCGGACTGTTCAATTCACTATTTATGATTATATAGCAAAGTAAAAGTTGAAAAAGAAATGTTAGGTTTATAGCTTTTGATATTATATATATGTACATATATATATATATATATATATATATTATGTATATGTATATATAGGAAATCTTCAATGGAATGGATTCTTAATTTTTTTTTATAAAAATGAGGATTAATTGTGGGGTCTATACTACATCGAACTTTAACGATTCGAATCATCTATTTTTTAAGTTTCACCTTATAGATCATCATTGTAAAATATTAGCCGAATCGGAAATGTTTAAGACATTTAATTGGGTTCAAAGAAATTAAAGAATACTTTGTTATATAAGAAACAATGAAATTTTATCTTGATAATTAAATAAACAAGTGGTTTCAGATTGAATTGAATTTTTGTAAGAATGATCTATTAATCGAGACTTATAAAATAGATGGTTCAGATTGTTGAAGTTCGATGTGGGATAAGCTTCATACCTAATCCTTTTTTTAAAAGAAATAAGAATTCATTTGAATAAAGAGCCTGATATATATATAATATAGTTCCATAAAATAAATATAAACGTGAAATATTAATTTCACGATCAAATAATAAGGGATAATTATATAGCTTAAGTAAAGTGTTTAAAGGTGTGATTAAGGGCCAAGGTGGGACTACGGGAGCACCGCCATTTGTGGTGCGGGTTAGGTTGAGCTTTGAAGGGGGCCAAAAATGCTGGATTTTTCTTTGTATATGCTACTTCAAACCAGAGTCATGCTCTCCTAAGTTCTTCATTATGAGTTTTTTAGGACGTGTGAGGACTAAATAAATATTAGCTATAAGATTATATTAGTTTAAATTCAAAATTTTAAAATACGTGATAATTTAATAAAATATAACAAGAAAATAAGTTTTCTAATGTTCATGATTTTTAAGTTGGTTTTGTTTTATTCAGTTATCAAATATTTTAAGTCTTTTTTTTTTAGTACATCGATATTTTTACACTAAGGAGAGAGGGAGTTCGGCAAAGCCACACAATAGACAGCCTAATTTGGTATCAAATTCGTCATCTATCGAAATTCGAACCTAAGATCTCTCATTTTCAAGTGAAGAGGAATATTATCAAATCGTAGTAATGAGTGGCAAATATTTTAAACCTTTAAATTCAAACTAATATAATATTGTGATTAAAATGTACTTAGTTCTCACATGTCCACCTGGCATCTACCATCATCCTCTGTGTCTTCTAATTATGGCAAAGCAAAAGAAACGATTCAAATGGTGCCAAGCTCACTCAATTAAAGCCTTTTTATTGGGTCCATGGTACCAACTCCAAATTCTTGATCATTATATTATATTTCTGGTCTTTAGGTTTAGGATAAGTTAGTCATGAATCAAGAAAGAAGAAGAAAGAATATGAGTATGGAACCAATAGCCATCGTAACTGATTTTATTTCTAATTTTTTATGTATTTGTTGATCCTAAAAACTACTAAAGTTACGTGGCGTGCAAGCCGAGTAATTAGTAAGCTAACTACGTTATTCGGTTGTATGCGGGACGTGCCAACTCGTCGGCCGAGGAATAAAATATGTTGATGTTGCGTTGAGTGCGTTGCTGACTTCTGAATCTCGCGACTGCGGCCGAGGAAGGAACACTCTCGGCCTTCGGGTTCTAGAGCCTGAAGACAAGACTGCTAGTTTTGTGAAGTTCAATATCAAAAATTCGGCTCTCAGGGTGCCGAATGTAGTAACCTGGTAACACCTCACTTCGCCGAGAAGGCTAATGAGATGACCTCTGCTAATAAAGATTTGAAAATCCTTCTCAACCGAGACTTTGATAGATAGCCAGTCGGTCTCATCGCAGTGCTGTTGATCCAAACTGAAGGTGCTTCACGGTCGGCTGACTTTACGGCAACAGTGTTGTTTATCCAAACTGAAGGTGTTCGCCGGTTGCCTTCACAGTGCTGTTTATCCAAACTGAAGATGTGTCAGCGGAAAAATAAAATAAAAAAATCTCAATATGTTTGAGAGGTTTCGCGTAGAGCGAGGGTTTGCGCAGGGCAATTTGTGTGTTGAGTTGGAGGTCCTCCTCTCGTTGTTACTCGTCTTGTAATTATAGGACTGGATATGCATGTGCTTTTTGTGAAGTATTCTTTGCTGACCACAATTGAATTCCCTTGACGATAATCACCTCATTCGAAAATTCATGATAATCATCCTTAAATTGGCCATTGGATTTAATGCTAATCTTGATCCTTGTTTGCCACTCATGATAGCCATATGTCAGACCAATTTGTACGCTACTGAAACTCTCCCCGTAGCATCCTGAGACAACCATGCAATGTTTACACCCTTCTTCACGTCCAAATACATGCATTGCCAAAGCTAAAACACTTTAAGCCATGCCGTGCTTGTCCATGGAGTATATACTGATTATTAGCATATACTTATGTGCTAATAATCATCCCAACTCAGAATATGCCGCACCATTATCTTTTTGTGATCATCGGATATCACCATTAACCAAAAGATAACCTTCATGCATGGTTAACCGAGTCCAAGCATATGTCTAAATGCCGAGAATCGCAAATCAAATTGAACTGCATTGCTTGCTTCCAAGTTGAAGATATAATTTGCATCCTATTTATCTCGTTGTACAAGAAAATTGAGATAATTTATTAAAAGATAATTATTATGATTAAAAACTATAATATTATCTCTTAACATTAGCAAATTATCTTATTTGACGGTTAAGAACCATGCTCACTCAACGACCTCGCTTGGACCGATGGTGTAAAATTGGGTCCAAACAGTATTAGATTACGAATTTAATATAAAACCTACACCTTTTTTAGTTCCACAGGGTATTATCGCTCAAAAAGTTAGAAATTAGTAAACACATGCAAATAATCGAAATAATTCTAACACCTATTACACACAAGTAAACATACCATAATTTTCCGACATTTCCATGTTTTAATATACAAGCGATACCGTGAGAAGGGGGAAATCAAACATATGACATTGGGTGAAATAAATCTTAAGATATGTTTTATCTTGTATATCAAAAGAACTAGGGTTTACACTTCACATTTATCATAGACAGCTCAACCTCAAAGCGATTCAATGAAATCCCAGAGTCGTTAATGAAGACTTGCAACAAAAATATCCATGGACTTACAACAAACATGTTCTGCCATGGATTTAGCAGCTACTAAAGAATGCAAGAGAGTGCGAAACGAATGAAAGTGAATGAACGTAACTCTCCTCTTCCCACTGGGAGCCTCGTATCTTCTTTGTTCTCAAAGTTCCTTTCTCTTTGTTACAATGATTACTCGGTTATACAGCTCCATGCCTGATGAGTTGCCTCCCTCTCAAAATTGCAACAGATCACACCCAAATGGACTTGTTAAAGTAAGCTTTGAAGCTGTGGCCCAGAAACGATGCAACTTGCTTATTTTCGGCACAAATGCTTCGCTAATTTAGTCAAACTAATTCTGTGAGTGAAGGTCTAAGCAGGCCCGTTCTCCACGACAGCTCTTCCGCCATTAAGAAAACCAAAAACTTGCTTCAGGTTTCCTCTTGAAGGCCTTGCATTTACTACATATTTACAGATAGTTACGAGTCTTCTCCGCATTTCTAATTTTGTAATGCATGTCTCACTGAAGAAGCTTCCACCATCAAAGGTTCCTAATGACATTGTCGGAATGTCAGAAAATACTCGAACAAAATATCATTACAACTTTCCTTGAATAAGATTAAATGCTGGTAGTGCAACAGTATTGAACATCCAGGACAATAAACAAATTTTAAACCACAGAGAGAATGAGTCAGTTACTACAATCTAGCTTAGACAAATATGTTTAACTGAAAAGGGATGAGGGGGCGGGGATTATGCGCTACATCTAATCTAAACACCCCTCCAAGACATAAGAACGACAAGAACATCATTTCTTTTGATAGAGAACAATAATTATCAATGAATAAGAAGATACGCTCACTGGCTTACACTCATGACAATACATATATACACATACATGCACATACAACACAATGAGAAAACAATAAAACCCATCAAATTCAAAGTTGAAGAAGTTTCTAGGAGCATAAGAAGGCATACCTCTATCATCAAATAATGAAGTCAAGATTGCCAGACATATACATACGCTGATATCTTCCCCTGGAATAAATATAAGATTGGAAAATATTAGCGGACGCATTAACGGTAATCCAAGAAAAAAATAATAATAATTAAACATTATGTCGTATAAGTTTCATATAGTATAATTATAATATATATTTATATCGTTATCAACTAAGTTCAGTAAGGGCAAGTAACAGATCAACGTAATTAATGCAGACATATCGACTCTGAACCCAGCATAATGTACTAAGCATGATAACTTAGAGAACAATATTTGACTACACCCCACTAAAGTTCTTTAGATTCCGTATATGAAAAAAAGCTCGAATAAAATGCAATGTTATGCACGGAGGAATGGTTTTATTTAATGGAATAGGACTAAGCAAAGAGCTGTGAAGTCTTTACCGTTGTGGCAACAAATTAGGAGGGTCTTCCCTTCACTTAGATTCAACTTTGCAAAGTTCACAGCAGAAGGGAGATTATTCAACAAGGAAAACCGATCAAACTTTGATGTCTGCCATGAAAAGTGAAAAGTTAGTAGAACAATTACATAATGAAAATGAATATAAGAATGCTATCCTATTATTCTTTTGAACTCACCACCATAGGAAGATGCATATATGCTTTAGCATTCCGATGAGAAACAGGGATTGACTCTTGATCACAATTCAATATGCAATCAACTTTAGATACTGCAGCTGCAACAAATAAGGTAAACCTAAGGGTAAGCCAAAAGAATTAACAAAGCAATGAGAAACAAAGGAGTGTTTTGGGAGGCAGATGAAATATGAACACATAACATTCACATGCAATGATAAACGGAGCCGAAAATTAAGGGTCTGGTTGGATTTTGGATGCTAACAAACCATGAGTAATTTTGAACATACTGGTTGGAGATATGCCTACAGCAAGGCCAGTTGAACCCATCCATGACATAGGACAATCTTCATCACAAGGATTTAAATCCATATTCGTGTTTGAAATATCCAAAGGCAACAACGAGTCGCCGAGCAAACAATGAACTGAGTTTTCTACCAAATTTGGGGCCTTGACAGAAACTTGAGGAGCAATTTGTCCCCTTCGAGCACGATAAACACGATCCTTCTCAACTATATCAGCTACCATCTGGTTACACAAAACAGGCCCCACATCGATAATATCATAGGCATGGTTCCAGAAGAGGGTGGGTGTTAAACCCTTTGCCCAGCTTTCTTCATCATCACCGGCTCCTGCTATGTAATTCCAGCTAAATTCCGAACTAGTCCTGTGTGGTACAACACCATTAGAGGCAGAGGCAGAAACAAGAATGATGGGTGTGAAATCCCAGGATTCATGGTCCGGAACTTCATTCAACCAAATCACAGTCTTTTGTGATATCCACAGAGGGCGCAGCGGCTTTTTCAATAAAGAAGCAAGAGAGGCAATGTCAGCACCGCTGGCTTCCAACTGTTGAGTCCATTCGTCTAATCGATCCTCGATAGATGCCTTCTCTGTTTCTGAAACCCAAAGAGGAAGATGCAAGGAACAATCCCAATCAAAATTGGTCTGTCCATTCTCTTCAGAATGTTCACCAGAAGTACTTAGCTCCTGATCAAAAGCAAGAAAATTTTAAGGATAGAAAGTCAACATATTGACAACTACATAATTTCGGCAAGAATGGTAACACATATTAGAATTGCTCAAAGAAACGGAGCACCCAATTAAGGGCATGTATGGTCCTGCTCCGAAATGGCTAAAAGCTGTTTTAGACATCCAAAATCTCTTCTGACAACATTTGACAGAAGGCGTCATAAAGACACTTTTTAGTGCTTTTTGGTTGCTTCCTTAGGAGGCACTTCCAAGTGTTTTTCTAGAAACTACTTGGATTTTCGATAAAAATTCTAACAATCCAACTAGGACATGTAAAACGCTTCTAAACAAAAGTGCTTCCTTCAAAAGCCGTCCCAAACATGTTTATCACACTATAATCCAACTAGGACAAGCTAAAGTTTACTCACAAAAACACATCAAATTCTCTACCTTTCTAGACTAATGCATAATTCAAAACTACACCAAATTATTAAAAAATTTCTCTTTGTTTTCAATTTCAACTCACCTCATCATTGAACAAATCACTCTGATGATCTTTCTTCAAATGCCTATAAATCGCCCGATTCAAAACACATGTCCAAATCGGAATCGTCTTCGACATACTATCCGGAAATCGCTTCCCCTTCCGAGTCGCATCCACAATAAAGCACCCTCCTTTCTGTCCTACCCAATTCAATAAAATCCCAGAAAAGATCAAACCAATAATCAAACAAAAAACGAGAATAACAATTGGATGCAGGGTGTTACGGTGCACCTTACCGGCAAGTTGGGCGACGTGGAGGTTGAGGCGGGAGGTGTTGAAGGACCAGTTGTTGGTGTGGCCGTCGGTGGATTTGAAGTAGCAGGTGGAGTGGAAGTTGGCAGTCGGAGAATACCAGAGGCCGCAGCGGAGGTTGGCGAGGAGAGGGAGGTCCGGCCAGAGCTGGGAGATTTCTCCGACAAAGATTGAGTCGTCGTAGATTGATTTGAGGGCGTTGTAGAGGGTGTTCTGCCGTCGTTTTATTGTCCTCGCCGCCCTGTATATGCTCAGCTGCTTCGTGCCATCGTCCTCTTCCATTGAAATCGGACTTTGGAGTTCTGGGAGATTCTGTTTCTTAATTTCGTCGATATGAGCGGTGGCGGTTGGGAGTTATGAGAGTTAGAACTGCGGCGGCCCAGATTGAATAGGTTGTCTTGTCGTACAAATAACTTTAGCTCGAGGGTGTACTGTAGAATCTAACACAACAGACGACGCCGTGTGACATACGCAGTTTGGGCGACATGTCTTATAAATTTACCATGACAAGTAATCAAGTACATTCGCCTCAAACAAAACAATCTCGGAGGATCCTCGCCGGATTTGTGAGGATCTTGGAGATGCTTCAATCACATCCGTTTATTATACATCGTACGATCAAAAATTATTGTAAATTTTTTATTTAAAATTGAATATGAACAGTACCTGACAAAAACTGGTGTACGATGTACGACAAACTGATGTGATTAGAGGATCCGGCGATGATCCGGCGATGATCCTCTCTCCAAAAAAAAAAATTCTATATTTAGCAAATATCGATGTGGTTTTCCTTTTTTATTTATTTTATATATAATGATTCTAAATGAATTTCAGATACATATTTCACACACTACATCTTGGATTTGGTTTATGATGCTGGTGTATCACATTGGCGGCCAAATGAAGACTGAAATGCTATGTCAGTCTTCACGACCCCAAAAAAGTAGATTGTCATGGCCAAATCATTAGTTGGTCCTTTAGAAGAAAAAAAATGTAGTTAGGTAGAGCAATATACCTTCTCTATACTCAATTTAAAAGATTTTTTTGGTATTTTCTAGTCTAGAATTTATTAGAATATCGCTAGAAAACTATGATCTATACTTATTTAGAGTTAAACCGCTCTAATAATTTTGCACAACTCAAATGCTTTGCTCTTCTCTACGTGGAGATATTTATAGAGAACAAGATACAAACCTAATCAAACAAATAAATCTAATCAAATAAGTAAACATAATTGAATAAGAAAAAACCTAATTCCTTGAGGACAAGAAAACGTAGACGTTAATAAAAGGCTAAATAGTCAAAATGGTCCATGAGATTTGTATAACTCATCACTTTGGTCCCTAACAATTCAAATCGATAAAAGTGGTCCCTGAGATTGTCCACCATCCATCATTTTGGTCCTTCCGTTAAAAACTTCGTTAAGTATCCTGGAGCTTTTGGCCGGAAGTTTGAACAATTTTCAGAACTTCGTAACTTAATCGTTTCTTAACCAAATTCGACCCATAATATATCAAAATGAAGATAGGAAAGTGTAGAATAAGATTATACCTATTTGGAAGCCCAACCAATGCCTGAGATGGCCGGAAAATAGCCTCAAAGTTGACTGGTCCGAGGGAAAACTGGAAAACTAGTCGAAAACTGGGTAAACTTTAAACGTTCATAACTTCTTCAATACTCAATGAAATCAAATGATTCAAAAACAAAAATCATACTTCTCGACGAAACGAAGAGAATGGTACCTTTGTAGACTGCTAAATCGCAGTGGTTTGGCCAGAAAAATACTCGAAAGTGGCTAACTCGAGACCAAGACATCCACTTTCGAGCCGTTTTCCGACCAAACCACATGAGTTAGCCATCTAAAAATGTACCATTCTCTTCGTTGCATCGAGAAGTATGATTTTCGTTTTTGAATCACTTTTTGAACGTTTAAAGTTTACCTAGTTTCCGGCGAGTTTTCCAGTTTTCCTTCGGACCAGTCAACTTTGAGACTATTTTCCTGCTATCTCCGGCAACCATTGGGCTTCTACATATGTATAATTTTATTCTACACTTTTCTATCTTCATTTTGATATATTATGGGTCGAATTTGGTTAAGAAACAATTGAGTTACGAAGCTTTGAAAATTGTCCAAACTTTCGGCCAAGAGCTTCGGGACACTTAACGGAGTTTTTAAAGGAATGACCAAAATGATGGATGGTGGACAATCTCAGGGACCCCTTTTATCGATTTGAAATGTTAGGGATCAAAGTGATGAGTTATGCAAATCTCAGAGACCATTTTAGCTATTTAGCCTTAATAAAATAACTTAAAACAAAGCATCTAAGTAAATAAAACCTTCCCTTTTCCTACATTTTCCAACGCTTAAGGGAGATGAATAATGAGAAAGAGACCAACTTCTTCCCCTAAACAATATAGTTCCATGTTTTTTCAGGTAATAATTACGTTGTGATTGTTAACGGTAGATGTAGTTTCATATTCTTTTTTACTCTTAAATTGCATTTGTTACAAGGAACTATATATGTAGTATAATGTACCAACCCCAGCCAAAAAAGTAGGCTTATTATTAGCTACGCTCCTTGTAACTTCATTTTGACCTCATTTTGTCGCTTGTAACTCAAAAGTTATCACTTTATTCTTTGAAACTCAAAATTTGTTTCACTTTGTCTTGTAGACTCTCACTTCTCCTTGAAATTTATAGGTCGCCTCCTGAAACATATGTGAGACCCACCACCGAAATAAATTTGATTATAAATCTTCATTATGTGTAAACATTCACAACAACAACAACAACAACAACAAAGCCTTTTCCCACTAAGTGGGGTCGGCTATATGAATCCTAGAACGCCATTGCGCTCGGTTTTGTATCATGTCCTCCGTTAGATCCAAGTACTCAAGTCTTTTCTTAGGGTCTCTTCCAAAGTTTTCCTAGGTCTTCCTCTACCCCTTCGGCCCTGAACCTCTGTCCCGTAGTCACATTTTCGAACCGGAGCGTCAGTAGGCCTTCTTTGCACATGTCCAAACCACCGGAACCGATTTTCTCTTATATTTCCTTCAATTTTGGCTACTCCTACTTTACCTCGGATATCCTCATTCCCAATCTTATCCTTTCTCGTGTGCCCATACATCCCACGAAGCATCCTCATCTCCGCTACACCCATTTTGTGTACGTGTTGATGCTTCACCGCCCAACATTCTATGCCATACAACATCGCTGGCCTTATTGCCGTCCTATAAAATTTTCCCTTGAGCTTCAGTGGCCTACGACGGTCACACAACACGCCGGATGCACTCTTACACTTCATCCATCCAGCTTATATTCTATGGTTGAGATCTCCATCTAATTCTCCGTTCTCTTGCAAGATAGATCCTAGGTAGCGAAAACGGTCACTTTTTGTGATCTTCGCTAGATTGCTCCGGTCATTAGTGTGGATAAGTATATAAATGGATAGAGATAGGAAAGCAAACACAAGATGTACGTGGTTCACCCAGATTGGCTACGTCCACGGAATAGAGGAGTTCTCATTAATTGTGAAGGGTTTACACAAGTACATATGTTCAAGCTCTCCTTTAGTGAGTACAAGTGAATGATTTAGTACAAATGACATTAGGAAATATTGTGGGAGAATGATCTCGTAACCACGAAACTTCTAAGTACCGGAGTGTGGTATCGTCTTGACCTTCCTTATCTGTCTCATAGGTAGATGTGACATCTTCTCTGGAAGTACTCTTCCTCCATCCAGGGGTGGTATCTGTAACTGGTGGAGATGAACAAGGTAATGTATCAATGTCACTTGAAGCTTACTTGTAGTTTCAGGCTTGGTCAAGCGCGATACAAACCATGTAGTAGGAGTCCCCCAAGTCGCCGAGCTAGGGGATCTGCTGAAAGAGGTGACAGACAAGGTAAGCAATTAGAGCTCCGGCTGATTGTTCACATTCTCCCTATCTTGCAGGCAGCATGAAGGATAAAGAAAAGAAAAATGAGAAGAGATGATATGGGATACTTTTGCTTTTGAAGAAGTAACTTTCCACAGGCTTATTCTTGAACTGGGCTGGAGGGTTTTTCTGGTTTCCTCCAGAGTATAAGGCCGACTGAAGAATTTGAGGGTCAAAAACAAGTCCATCAAATCTAGAGTACGTTCGACCCTGCTGATATGGGATACTTTTGCTTTTGACAGAGTAGTGGATGTATCGGCACGTGTGCTGTTACGCTTGTCTCCACATGCTTCCTTGTATCCTTCTCACTTGCCCTATCTGTTCCTCAGGCAGATGCGGTATCTTCCCTGGAAGCATAAGATGTTGAAGATGAGTACTCGAGAGCAATGCCAGGTAAGTAATCAGGTAAGGGGTTCCAGGCAGTCAGTTCCTGGCTGGAAGCTTGATTCCAAGTGCTGACTGATTGCTCTCTTTCTCCTTGTCTTGCAGGTAAGAACAAGGCCAAAGGAAAAGACAGGGAAAAAGCATGATATGGGATACTCTTTCTTTTAACCCTGATGATATGAGATATTCTTGCTCTAGTATAGCTTGTTTACAGAGGTATTATCGGGGGGAAAGAAAGCTGAATATTTCGAAAGGCTTCGTTGGGAGTGCCCTCTCAGATAAGAGGAAGGGTTGAGCATTTTTGCAGGTCTGCCTGTCCGTTGGGGATGGAGGTCAACATATATAGGAGTCTCCCTAACATCAAGTAATAATGCTACTCCTTTACCCTGCTTGGTCATAGCACGGTAGTGGGAGCTGCCAGCTTCACAAGTTTTAACTCTGTCAGAGCACTTTGAAAAAGTGGTCTGTGGTATCTGGAAAGCTGATGTTGCGTGTGAAGATTACAGACAAGCTTTATCCAAGGAGATCCAGCTCTTGAAGTTGGGAAAAGTGGTGCCTCTTCGGTTTTTCGAACAAGCAATCCTGTCGGGGATCTGGCTCTCTAGATTCGGAGAACGATGCCTCTTCGATTTTTGAGAAAGCAATCCTGCTGGGGGTCTGGCTCTCGAGATTCGGAGAGCGGTGTCTTCGATTTTTGAGAAAGTAATCATGTTGGGAATCTGGTTCTCGAGATTCGGAGGGCGGTGCCTCTTTCGATTTTGGAGCAAGCAATCTTGTTGGGAGTGTTTTTCTCGAATGTGAGTAAAGGTTGGGCATGTTTGCTAGTCTACCTTGCCACGAAGCACAGAGGTTGACACACAGGGACTTTCCAATTATCCAGCAGTGGTTACTGTTCCTTTACCCTCTTTTCGATTTTTGAGAAAGTAATCATGTTAGGAGTCTGGCTCTCGAGATTCGGAGGGCGGTGCCTCTTCGATTTTGGAGCAAGCAAATCTTGTTGGGGGTGTTTTCTCGAATGTGAGTAAAGGTTGGGCATGTTTGCTAGTCTACCTTGCCACGAAGCACAGATGTTGACACACACAGGGACTTTCCAATTATCCAGCAGTGGTACTGTTCCTTTACCCTCTCTTCGATTTTTGAGAAAGTAATCATGTTGGGAGTCTGGCTCTCGAGATTCGGAGGGCGGTGCCTCTTCGATTTTGGAGCAAGCAATCTTGTTGGGAGTGTTTTTCTCGAATGTGAGTAAAGGTTGGGCATGTTTGCTAGTCTACCTTGCCACGAAGCACAGAGGTTGACACACCGGGACTTTCCAATTATCCAGCAGTGGTACTGTTCCTTTACCCTTATGGGTAATAATATGGTAGCTAAACCTTCAAAATTTATGTGTCTAAACTTTGTTAGTGTTGTTTCTTTGCTATTCTTTTACCCTTCTTGGTCAGAGCGATGTAGTGGGAGCTGCAAGCTTCACGTGTCTCAACTTTGTCAGAGAACTTTGGCAAAGTTATATGTGGTACCCATGAGCTACTGTTGCGTGTGGGAAGTGGGTGATTGAACAGTACGATTCATGTGCTTTCTACTTCGCCAGAAATCTTCGACAGAATGCCCATAATTTCCGCAAAGCTGAGTGCGTGTGACAGGTGCTGACAAGGCTGGAAAAGTAGGTGCCTCTTCGATTTTTTAGATCGGCCCTCGTGTTCTCTGAGCAGCCCAGCTTTTGAGAAAGCAAGCCTCTTCGATTTCTGAGATCGGCCTTCGTGGTCTTTGAGCAACCCAGCTTTTGAGAAAGCAAACGCCTCTTCGATTTCTGAGATCGACCCTCGTGGTCTCTGAGCAGCCCAGCTTTTGAGAAAGCAAACGCCTCTTCGATTTCTGAGCAGGCGCCTCTTCGATTTCTGAAGCTTCGTCGAGTGCAGATTTTTATAGGGGCTGACATTAAGTTCCAAAGCACACTTGAATATCCACCAATAGAAGCTCCATTCTTGCACTTCTAAGATCTTGATTTGTCCGACCTCTTCTCTCTTCAACACCTTTGAAAATGTCTGGCCCCTCCGACCGTCGTTTTGACTTGAACCTTGTTGAAGAGGCAGCCCCGCCTTCTCCAGACAACATATGGCGCCCATCCTTCGTCTCCCATACTGGTCCTCTTACCGTTGGGGATTCCGTGATGAAGAATGATATGACCGCTGCGGTAGTGGCCAGGAACATTCTCACTCCCAAAGATAACAGACTACTTTCCAAACGGTCTGATGAGTTGGCTGTTAAGGATTATCTGGCTCTTAGTGTTCAGTGTGCAGGTTCTGTGTCTAATATGGCCCAACGCCTATTTGCTCGAACCCGCCAAGTTGAATCATTGGCGGCTGAAGTGATGAGTCTCAAACAGGAGATTAGAGGGCTCAAGCATGAGAATAAACAGTTGCACCGGCTCGCACATGACTATGCTACAAACATGAAGAGGAAGCTTGACCAGATGAAGGAATCTGATGGTCAGGTTTTACTTGATCATCAGAGATTTGTGGGTTTGTTCCAAAGGCATTTATTGCCTTCGTCTTCTGGGGCTGTACCGCATAATGAAGCTCCAAATGATCAACCTCTGATGCCTCCTCCTTCTAGGGTTCTGTCCAGTACTGAGGCTCCAAATGATCCCCCTCCGGTGCCTTCTCTTTCTAGGGCTCTACCGACTGCTGAGACTTCTCCTAAGCAACCTTTGTGAATGCTCCCTCTTGTTTGTTTATTTTGACTCAAGTATATGTACATATTTGTAACTTATCGGGGATATCAATAAATATGCTTTCCTTCATTTCAACGTATTGTGTTAAATACACCAAAGCCTTCTTCGCTAAGTTCTTTGAATTTTCTTTTGTTGAAGCTTGTATGTTGAAGCTTTGTCAGTGGAGCATGTAGGTTGAGGTAGTGTTCCCTTAATTTCCCGAGTGAGGAAAACTTCTCGGTTGGAGACTTGGAAAATCCAAGTCACTGAGTGGGATCGGCTATATGAATCTTAGAACGCCATTGTGTTCTGTCCTGTGTCATGTCCTCCGTTAGATCCAAGTACTCTAAGTCTTTTCTTAGGGTCTCTTCCAAAGTTTTCCTAGGTCTTCCTCTACCCCTTCGGCCCTGAACCTCTGTCCCATAGTTGCATCTTCTAATCGGAGCGTCAGTAGGCCTTCTTTGCACATGTCCAAACCACCGTAACCGATTTTCTCTCATCTTTCCTTCAATTTCGGCTACTCCTACTTTACCCCGGATATCCTCATTCCTAATCTTATCCTCATTATGTGTAAACATTCAACAATAAAAAAAATAAAGTTTAAAAGAAATTGAAGAGATGAAAAAAAACAAAAAAAAAACAACTTGATTAGCCTGGCCTAGCCAAATTAAACTCACATAAGAAATTAACAGATCAAAGGCAATGTGAATTGAATTTTGAATTTTATAGAGACGACTTTCAAGTTTCAGAGGCAAAATAATATCAAAATCGAGTTCCGGATGGTAAAGTGGAGCAAACTATTGAGTTTCGAAGAGTAAAGTGGTGATTTTTGAGTTAAAAGGGAATAGAGGAAGATTAAAATCGAGTTCCAGGAAATGTATCTAAAAATAAGGCAAAAAAAACTGAAATAAGAAAAGTGTTTCAAACTTGAAATTCCCACTTCCAATATGCAATGCTTGTTAAGAATAGGTTCAATAACGATTAGAATTAATCCATAGTGGCAACTTTTTACACATCCATCAAACATCCCAACACTAATTAACAAATCTCAGATGGCTTTTAAGAATCTTTGCTTCTATTTTTGACAGCATTCTTGACTCCTTTTCTGACAGCATTCTTGAGCACTCCTGTTTTGACAGATGATGCTGGATTGATGGCCTTTCTAATTTTGAAGACGTTCCAAGCAATGCAAGCACAATGCCCCGCTGTTGCAATCACATCCTCAGTTGCCTCCCCTGCACTCTCCCCAAACCTGCCGGTTCCCAACATTACTAGCAATTCAACTCACATATCCAAGAATCAAAAGTGTATATATGACGGGAAATATGCATAATTAGAACTGGTTATAATCTTTTGATAGAGAATATAAATAAAAAGACACCAAACAGACTGTAAGCTGTCTATATAAACGCGGTTTAGTACTTCATTATGTAATAGCCGACCCCACTTAGTGGGAAAAGGCTTTGTTGTTGTTGTTGTTGTTGTTGGTCATTATTACCTGTTGCTGACGATTCTACCAGCAGCACCCTTGGTAGCTGATAGGGCTTGTTTCTCTGCAACTTCAGCTGCATCCAAAATCTTATCTGCAATTTGCAGGATGAACCATATTTCAATATGTAGCCTTGGCAATGTGGAGAATTTTTCGAATATGCATTCAAAGGAACGGCTATATTTAAATGTTTTAGATCAAACCATTATATATGACGGTATACTGAATCTCAAAAAGCAATGTATGGCAGAATTTTCGATGTAAAGAATGTATGAATTTGAACTTACTGATGGCATCAAGTGAAGCCAAGAGGACCTGTCCCGGAACCAAGGCGAAGAATGACTTCCCTGCTTTGGAGTTGACTACCGGCCCCATCACCGATCCGGTCGCAATACCAACCCCATCAAGCATAGCTTTGCTGAGCTTTGATGTCATCTTTGACAAATTTTTCACACTGAATCATGGCAATACAGAAGATCCATTCACTTGAGAACCTTTCAATACACGCACACAAAATAATGTAAAGAAAATGTGTCTAACCGTTTTAAGTTCTTGTTGATTCCACTCTTCTTTTTTGCAGCAGATTTGCTGCTACTGCTTCCTTGTTCTTTGACATAACTTTTCCCCTCCACGGGACGAGCCAATGTCGCTTCCCCTCCCTTTTGGACCTGTTTTCTTCTCCCATCATGCAAATTATTGTTAGATGTTTGAAATTGATCATTTGAACAAAAAAAAAAAAAAAAACAGTTTTAAGTTGTCACAGAATAAGTTACCAATATATATCAAACTTATGTCGTCCCAGACATATTACAGTACCGCAATTTGTAAAATCTTTGACCATTAAAACTTTGTAAATCGGGATATTAACTTTTGTTACATGTTGTACTGTTTTTAGGGTTAAAAGAATGTTGGCTCGGCCAAGTTAACTAGGGCGTGTGTTTCCCATATGAAGCAAAGTTCGAATTCTTGGCACCAAATTTAAATAAATTGTGTGTAAAATACAAAAATTAAATCGCTTGTTTAAAATAAAAAGCCAAAAACAAACCTGATTGGTGTAAGCATTGCTACACATGAAGATCCCCCTCACAATCTGACCAGTCCCTCCCGCAATCGCCTTGGCCAACACATTATTATAATCTTCAATCCTTGGAGCATACTCCTTCCAATCAACCCCCTTATTTTTATTATTCTTGGTCGATGTGGCACTAAAGCAAGTGTGCTCCATCAAAAACGAATCCAGAAACGCCAACTGACTCTCACACTGGTCGGGAAAAGTGACACCGTAGCTCAGCGGATCGCCGTCCTTCATGGGGAGGGAGAAGAGGTAGTGCAAAGCGTCGAGCTTCACGACCGGCTCGTCGTTTGTCAGCGGCCACTGAAGTTCTTCGCCGACTTTGATTATGGTGGCCAGAGTAACGTTGTTTTCCAAGATGTTTTCGAGGACGAAGTCGCCGCTTGCGAGCTCTAGGGTTTCTCCTTCGTCCATGAGGTTGACTCTGCATCCTGGGATTTGGAGGAAGACTTGCTGCTGGATGTTTTTGGGTTGTTGGAATTGCTCAGTAGGGTCTTGGGTTCCGTACTGCGGCGGAGGTGTGGTTTTGGGTTTGGAACGGTGTGAACGACTGAAGCAACCCATTTCTTTGTTTTGAAGGAAACTAAACTGTTTGTGGTTGTAATTTGAGAGGGATTGGAGCAGCAAAGAAGGTGACGAAAAAGGCAGCTGTGTTAAGAGGAAAAGTTATTGAAATAATTGATGCTTTGTTTGCATCTTTATGCTATTCGTCTGCGTCAGTGTAATTATCGTGTGGCTTTCGGTGGAGAATTTAGAGGGTGCCAACTGTCGATATGATGCTGAATAATCAGTAAAGTACAGACAAACCTTGCAGGCTTCAAAGAGGTTTGAAGTGTGAACTCAAGTGCTTTTGTTTCAGATTATCGACCTAAGGATATTATTTGTGTTTCCATGTCACTTGTGAGTCGTGACTAATGTATTTTATTGTTGGATATTATTATCGGATAGTTTAATTTTTATTGTTTAGATATTATTACCGGATAGCTTATTCTACTTTTTTATCATTAAAATATTATTTTTATAAAAATTATTTAATTTATAGATCTCGTTTAGTTATTCATGCATGTGAAACAATAAATAATTTTGCTAACAAGTAATTTTTTTATCACGAGTTAATTATTTGTTTGATACATATAAATAGCTGAAATAATATTCTTAATTGAATAATTTTTTTGTAGATATAATCTTCAAATTATGATAAAAGTTGAACTTGTCCTATTGTAATATTTGTAAGGTAAAATTAGGTTAACCATGAGTGAGGATTAACTAGACTCCCTCTATATAGGAGAACGCAAACATTATTCTATAGAGAATTTGGTTTACTATCACAATAGCATTCGTTTTAATAAAATAATTCATATTATTAGATTTGATGGGTACATACATTGGATCATGATATTTTACTTGCTACTCAGTCCTACAGCTTTAAATTTTAATAAAATAATTTATATTATTAGTATAAAAATATTATTGTACTAAAAAAGAAATATAATATCCCACTCGTAACCGAAAGCCGTAATTGACTAATCTCCTAAGTTGAATGTCAGTCACACAATAATATTAAATTGAATGGTGAGCGAACTTCAAGTATTAAAGCAAAAGTCCAAAAGCCCACTGTAGCAAAGCACATACGTGTGTGAGAGATTCCAACAATTTCCACACGCACTGGTGTGTTGATATTCTACAGCCTGCGCTTGCGAACTATGTTGCACGGACACTTTGAAACCTCGAAATGACGGTGTCGACATTCTAACGTGAATTTAAAAATAAGCACTAATCACAACTGTTTCATACACGGTTGGAATTAGGTGCAACGGATGAGCAACCAACCTTTCATGATAGTTAGAATTTGTCTATTATTGCATCTATATATAATGAATTCCTTGCTTACAAAGAAAAGGTTCTACGTTCAGATGTCTATTATTACCATTAGAATATAGGGGTCTTTAAGTAAGTAGAAGAATTCTTTTACAACTACTATGTCTTCGACAGGTAAGTCTTGTACTCATATATATTAATATGTGATTTAGGATTCATGTCGAGTTTAATATTAGTTCCAACACACACTTTACATACATGGTCAACAGTTTAAACACGATCAAGACACGGTAAAGAAATTCTTGTAAATATAAATAGCATTTTCGAGCAATTTTGTAAACCCAAAATTTGCCGATCTGGACAACAGTCAGTCTTTCTGTACTAGTTTGGTACTGTGATGCTTTTATAAAAAATGGGTATAGAAAAAAGCTGAGCTCAAAAATGTATTTGGTAAATACTTAAAACAACTTATTTTCACAGTTTTGGATGAAAAAAAAGCTCAAAACGTGAAGAAACAAAAATAAATCTATTCTTAAAGCACAGTAAAAACATTTTTTTTCATACCAAACCATCTACATCTCTCTCTCTCTCTCTCTCTCTCTCTCTCTCTTCCGAAGCGACCCGCGGAGCATTTTCTTTCGTCTCCGAACAGATATCCTCAAATCATTGGCTGGATTTTCCAAACTTTCCGCTGACGGACAACCTCAAATCATGAGTCAGTAACTCAGCATCTTGACCCAACCAACCAGTCAGACAGGTACGTCGTCTCTGCGAATTTGCTTGAGTGAGCATGCAATGCATATAAAACACTTTCTTCTATCTAATAAGCCTCTTACCATTTATAAAAAAAATAAAATACAAAAAAGAAGTTATATATGTTATGTTCAATCAAAGTTTTAAAAGACGCTATATGTTAGTCTGGACGGTGAGTTGACGTCCACTGGCCAAGCGGAATCTAGACACATTTATGTAAATTTAATATAAATTAATTAAATTTACAATATCATATATAAATAATATGTCTTTTAAAAAAAATAATATATGTGATGTTAGAATTTAAATACATACTAATGTAAATTGTCTTAAAAGAAAAAAGAATAATAAAACAATAGAAAATTGAGGAGATGGTAAAGAGAGTTCCAGGAGGATCCTCACCGGATCCTTTTTGGAGGATTTCGGGGGATCCTCCAATCACATCTATTTATCATATATCGTACGATCAAAAATCATTATAATTTTTTTATTTAAAATTGAATATAAACAGTATCTGACAAAAATTAACGGCACGATGTACGATGAATGAATGTGATTGGAGGATCTCTGATCCGGAATCCTCACAAAAAGAATCCGACGAGAATCTTCTCTCAAGATAGAGTTATTATTCTTTTTACCAGTTTTTGTAAATGGTCTTAAAAGAAATAAAAAAAATGGTAAAGAGGAAACTCGTGCAACCAAAATAGAGGAGATGGTAAGACCATAAAGAATTCACCCGTTCGTTTAAATTGAAAGTTAATGTGGTGGTTCCCACCCATTCATCTTCTTCCTCGCGACTTGCAACATCATTTTTCTGGATTGATAAAAAATTTCAGATCCCTACGTCTTCTCATATGTCGGCCTAGCTTCCGCCCAGACTTGCATAGCTCTGCCTAGACCCGCCTAATCCCACCTAGCGTCTGCCTAATATGTTTTCCGATTTTGCGATCGATTAGGAATTAATGGCAGGGCCCGGTAACCGTCCAGCGCCTAGGCAGCTGCCTAGGCCAATTTTTAGAACACTATGTTCAATCGAGAGTTGCAACCTAAACCGTCTATGCACCTTTTCTTATTTTTTAAGTGCCTATTAATTAATTATAGCAATGGTCACTAAATGCGAGGTCTAGACAGCACTAACATTGAACATGACATTATGCAAAGTTGTGCACCTTCTAATTTATTGTCATAAACCTAGGTGTACAATTTTACTCGAAGCAGTGCTAGTAACTTTTGTTCTCTACCAAAATGGGCAAATATATTTGTTCAAACATCCATCTCGTATACCAAAAAAAAAATAAATAAATAAAAAAAAAATCTTCTCCTGCTTGGGCCCATTGAGGCCCAATACTAAACCATTATCAGATGTAGGCTTCTCACAATTCAACAACAAAATCTATATGGCCCACACGATTACACAACAGAGTGCAGAGAGAGAGTGCGTCTGAGTCATACAGTTCTCCCTCTAAGATCTCGAAGCGAATCCGCCTATCAAGCTCTCAGTCGCCATCGCCGGAAAATCCACTCCAATCTGCAGGTCTCTCCCTCCTTCTCTCTCTCTCTCTCTCTCGCTCTCTCTCTTTCACTCTCTCTCTCTCTCTCTCTCTCTCTCTCTCTCTCTCTAATATTGCGCCCTGCCTCAAAATCTAGAATCTTTAAAAACCTCGGCAGCTCCAAACACATTCTGGTAACTCGTACTTCAAGAACCCAGTTGGTCTTTCGAGTCGGTTAAAATCCTAGTAAACTGCTTGGTTTCAAAAAAATGCGAACCCAACAAACAGTGTCTTTTTGTGTGTGTTTATTATCTAACTTAATTGAAAAAGGAGCTTGAGCTCATGTGAAATTTGCCACATTATCTTATCTGTTCTCGTTGGTTGGTTGGTTTTAGAATTCCGAAGTGTAAATATCTCAGCTTTGAGATATGATGATCGCCGCGGTGGCGCTGGTGGCGGTTATCCTTCTGGTAGCTTTCTTTTTGATCCCACGAGGCCCAAAATATGGTATTTTCTTCTTGGTTAATCTTGAAAAACAAAATAAAGTTGTACTAGATTCAAAAGATTCAACTTTTATAACTAAAAAAAATGTTTGTTTCGATGCAGGGAAAGTAAAGAAAGTTCTGTCGAATGAGAAGGTAATTGTAATTATTAGCAACATTAACACCCAAAAATTAAGATTGTTTTTTAAGGAACTGTTTGTGTTACCTTAATTTTCTGGTTTTCTTCAGCCGGCCAGAGTGTACACGAAAGCTGATGTCTCGTTGCATAACAAGCGAACGGATTGTTGGATAATTATTAAAGACAAGGTAACATTTCGATTTTTCAGTTCCTTAGGCTCTCTTGTTTTCCATGGATTCACACTTGCATAATCCTTGTGTTAACAACAAACGTTGTAGGTATATGATATTACCTCGTACGTAGAGGAGCACCCGGGTGGTGATGCCATTTTAGATCATGCTGGGGATGATTCGACTGAAGGGTTTTTCGGGTGAGTATCGCTTGTTTTCGTTGTCACTAGATGGAAGCTTTTTTTCTTCACTCACACTCGTGGTTCCATCCCTAAATTCTTACGACAAAGTCTTACTCACCAACTGATAATTTCATGATCGATTATTTCGCCGGATGTGTGTTGATTAATGTATGTGACTGCATAATATTCAGAAAAGCCTTGTCCATCTACTTGGGATTGATTACTGATGTATGTTTAGGAGAAGCTCCGAACATAGTGTCTCGTAATATGTTGTGATTGTTCTTAGTTTGTGCAAAATCTGAATGTTTGTTAAGTTGGTAGTTCCGGTACAGGAAAGGCAGAAGTTCTTGTCCTCCTGCTCTGTTTAAAACTAAACCGCTTGTTCTTTCTTAAATCTTTCCTAACCCGAAATCTAAGAATCAACGGAATGTATGTAGACATCAGCACATTGTTTTGCATTTGCAAGGTTGTATCAGTTCCTGACATTTTCTTGTTATGTTTACTTTTGGTGTGGTAGCCCGCAGCATGCAACCCGAGTCTTTGACATGATCGACGACTTTTACATTGGAGATCTGGTGCTGTGACCAACTCGGAGTCATATTTCTCTCTTTTGTAATATCGGATGGGGAATGTACTTTGCCATTCCGTTTTTCTCTTTGCATTTCCATTTCTTGATTGCAGCAATGTATCTGTACACACTTTGCAGTGGGTTTTAGTGAGAAATTTTTCCTTTATCTGCTGACTAAATTGAAAGGGCACCATTTGGTGTGGAAGCCAGACTTGTGGCAAGGAGGCTGAAATGCTTTTGTGAGTCTTCTCGGTCCCCGGAAGGGGTGAATAACCGTGGCTTGCCACCAATTGTCCCCCTTTTAAAAAAAATAAAGGGCACATTACCGAGATCTTTTGGTTGTTGATCGGGTTCATGTTATAAATTTTAGGGCTCCTCACAAGTACACCCTTCAAAACTCATATTTCATAGTCAATACACTTGCGTTTCGTTCTCCGATTCAAACTTTCAAAGTTTTTCGACTTTTGAGATTGGCATGATTTCTCACTTTGGCTCCCGAGATGTAAAATCAATAGAAGTGGTCCCTAAACTTGTCCATCATCAATCGTGTTGGTCTTTCCGTGAAAAATCTTTGTTAAATTTAGGGTATTTTATCATATCAACCCCTTCACTTAAGCTGGTGATTTCTTCAATTAAACGGAAATTTTTCACAGAAGAACCAAAATAATTGACGATGAACAATCTCAAATACTATTTTGGCTAAATATCTTCTTGGCTACAGATGAAAATGAAGGGAAGAGCCAACAGTGCAACACTGGAAATGGAATCAAATCTCTACTTGCTATCATCTGAATCTCAACTGTATAAGAATTTGAATTACATCACTAAAAAGAAAAGGGGTGCAAATTACAAATCAACCAAGGCAGGTCAGGTTTGAGGCTGAAGAACAAATGGATTGAATGGGGTTTTGAAAAAATGAGACTAAAATTCCTAAAACACTTTAAATCAATCAATAATTGAATGGCCAACCAATCTAACCCCAACAATTTTTTTCTTCTAACAATCTCGTCGCCCATCCGATCTTTCAACGCCAGGCAAACCGATCGAAAGGCATTTTCTCCAATCACATTCGCTAGATATCGTATTTCTTCGGCTGACACCATTGTGCCAAACTTCTAGCCAAAGAGCTGAGGAATGACAGTTTCGGAGGAGCTCCTTTCTTCCCTAAATGCTTTCCTCCCAAGTCCGTATATATCGGACCCATATCCTTGCTTCGTTCAATCTTCAGCGAAAACATACAAATTATAATTCAGAACATGCAGCTCAAACGTTGTACATTGTTTCCCTTCATATGTAGGGAAAAATGAAGTCTTTAAAGCTAAGAAGAAAGGCCTTAGACGGCATACCTTGAATATCTTCCCATCCTTTAAGTGATATCGAATACCAGACCAATTTATGGACTGAGAGAAATGAGAACGGAAGGCAGAGATGGGGTATAAAAAATTATCTACTATAAGTGCGATAAAAACCTGCCAAATCGAAAACCAGTGAATGAGAATTAGAGAATACCCAGTAGCCATCATCAAGACGCTCCAGAGCTCCAACTAAGTATGAAGTTTGGATCTTTAAAGAGATGGAGATTACGAAACTCTGATTTTTCTATGGTACTTCAAAATACTTTCAGTCAAGATATTTAGTTAAGTGTAATATACAGCATTCAAGACACAAATAATGAAATTCACAATTCTTCGAGTGTATAGAGATGGATACTTACAAGGCTCCAGTTGTAAGTAGCAAGTGAGAGTTTAGGAGCCTCCGGCGATAACATGTTGCATAAATGAACTTCTATCCTGGTCAAGTTCCACATTGAAAGAAGTTCGATAAATGTGCATGTCGCTAGGCAGCCTACCAGTTTCAATCCTGAGAAAGGGTGGATGAACATTTAAGAGTTTGAGAAACGTTTGGTTTCTTTTAGGCAAGGAATCATAATCATATAAACGGGATAGAGAATCAAATTTTATCTTGCACAATGGTTTTCTGCATTAGCATTTGAATCAACGCTACCAACCTACCTAAAAGAGAAAAGAGTGCTCACCACCAAAAGTGAAGGTTGTTTCCTCGATTGAATACCCCGTAATATACATTCGTAGGGCTGCAGTGATATGAATAATGGCCATTAAGAATGGTGTTACAAATCCCCACGAGAGATAGCAGTGGACGGTAAACAATGCACGGTTCATAATCCAGTTAACTGTTGTTGTATATGATTCCAACACAAATGTCTGCTTCCTCAAGTAGTTCCAATACCTACATGAAAAGTCAAAAGATGTAAGCATGAAGTATGACTGCATTTTTACTTTTTTTAGTAAACAAGTGTGCATTACAAACCTTGGAAAACTAAGATCACTTGCAAGCGGATGGGGGAAAACGGCAACTGGAGGTGATGTGATGAGCCTTTTATGAGCACCTGGAAAAGTCATAACATCAGCAACAATGCATAGCCACTTTAAAACCATACAGAACCAAATCATGCAAAAAACCCTGATGTAATGTCTCCCTTTCCCTTGTAAACGTTTCCCCCCCAAAGGCGATTTAAAAACACCAATACAAAGGGAGAGCAGTAGAACACTTGAACAGCCAAAAAAAAAAGGTATGCACAAGACAGGGTAATTATATCAGATTGACAAGATGAATGCATCTAAGCCTTCACCTAGCACAGAAAACATCAATGAGTATATTACCAGCTATAGCTGCGAGAGTCATATCGTCAGAGTAACCGCCATTTTTAAGTCCTGTGACCACTCCATAGCGGTCGAGTCTAAAATCATCTGCATGCATCTGCAAGGAATTTAAAACAGTTAAAACAGCAAGAAATTTAAAACAACCAAAACGGCATGACGATTTTGTGCATGCAGGACTTAAAGAAGGTTACTACTACTTACCATCATGCATCCTCCCCACAGAAAGAATGTCCTTCCACCAGTAGCAAAGCCCATTGAGCAAGGCTTTACAAAACAATTTGCAGATGACTAGAAGTCAGACTTCAAATAAGATATAGGAGGAAGCTTAACGTAAAATACAAGAAATAACTACTAAAAATTTATACACACGTGTATTTAGATGTTAAAATACAGATATATGTATAAGAAATTTTTTGAAGAACAAGTAGGTACCATATGATATTCATAAATGCAGTAACTCCCTAAGCTTCCCGAAGGCAAATCAAGGGGGTATCCGGTTTGGATAAATATCTGCACATTATTTAAAACAGAATTAACAACATAACAGAACCCACAGCTAACACACCACAGTATACGATAGGATCAGCATACAAAAATTTTACATCAGGATTTTTCTCCATCTCGGAGGTTAGGGCTCCAATCGACCCAGGGTGAAGCCTAACATCATCATCCAAAAATAATACATACTTGCTGTCTTTGTGCATTTTCTCCACTCCAATCTGCAAAAAGAGATTACGATCTAGTAATTGATATAATTAGTCACTACAGAATGACATGCTTTAAAGTTCGAACCATGTATGCAAAGAGATTTAAACAAGAAGAAAAATTACACAACAATGAATCTGATACTTTATACAGTGTAGACATATACCCCACTGCACAAGCATAGTAGCAAAGAGTAAATTATTTTAATCAGGTACATACCAATTGGTTGTGAATTTTCTGACTACAGGTTGTTGAAAGACCAGCCACAACAATCTTAGCATCAACCTCGTCCTGCAAGGAAACGAAGTTAAAGTTAAAACACATCATCTGGGCACACATGTAACCATATACATGTTACACATTAAACTTATAGGGAAGATGAAAGACCAGCCACAACAATCTTAGCATCAGCCTTGTCTTGCAAGGAAATGAAGTTAAACTTAAAACAGGTCATCTGGGCACACATGTTAGGCATTAAACTTACGCTTCCAGGCATATATTATATGACCTTTCCTGGATGTTCTTGAGTTCTTCTTATATTAAAGAAACCATGATTATTGGGAAGTTGTGTATACCTTAAGATCTGACAGCAGCAAAGATACAGCACGATAAGCAGGGTCTTCTCTGCTTTCCACGATAAACATAAATTCTAAGGGACCACCATAGAGAGAAGTGACCTGTGTTCATTAATGCAACAAAATAGTTCAGACCATATTGGAAGAAAACCTTGGATACAAATTTAACCAATTAAATCAGTTAGCACAAGGATTTTGGACACTTCACCATATAATCTATCATTTAAAAGGTGTTGAAGATATGATAATTGTTTTAACAGCTCCTTTTTTCCCCAAAGAAGTAAACCAAAGAAAACTCTTAGCATCCCCGTCGAAAGATATATAATTTGATATGTAAATTGGGGATTGGTAACAATACTTACATGTATCGAATACAACCACCATCTCGATTGTATTAAGTACAAATATTCACATGAATTATATATGACCATCAGATGATGATTGAAGTAAATACATGCAATTATTGTAGCCAAATTCGTAAATTTATGTTGTTTTTATTGACAGGACCAAAGCAATGTGCCCCTCTAACCTGGCTTCTCCAATTGTGTAAATTGTGTTCTCCAAATCCCTTCAAAGGCATAACAACGGTTACTCTTGGCAGTTTGAGCTGATTTGAGTGCTCAAGTTCAGCGATATCATGGCAAAGGAAAGCAAAGCTATTGCCTCGTTGCATACTATCCTTCATCCGATTAATCTCCCTATTCCTGTGCGGTTCACATAACGAAGAAAAAAATGTTGAATATCAAGCACATAATGGATTTAACACCGAACGAGCACGGTGGCCATGCTAGTAGTTGATATTACATTGAAGTCAGAATATAAACTCAAGTACCTGACATAAGCCGCACAAGCCCATCCGAAAGCAAGAACCAAACAGATTAGACAACCCTACGGCGCAAATACAGAAATTTAGACGTGCCCACCAAAAGAAAACATAGTTTAACTATGTTAATCTAATATCACAAAGATATTAATCTTCCAAATCTCATTGCCCAATAGAGTGTAGTTTGAACTTCCTATGAAAAAAACTAATCTTTCAATTCGAAAGTAACATAAAGAATTGCCTAAGAAATTGCGAAATCAAGGAGTAATATAAGTCGATTTTTGAAGTGCCAATAACAATTCCCAATCCTAAAGCAGTCTACTTTTTTCAGATTAAACCTCATTTTCTGGATTTTTGACTTCTCTCTCACCCAGAAATCAAATAGTTGACCTCCA